GTGGTGATAGGTTTTTCCCATCTACACCGCTTCTAAGCCAGACCAGACTCAGCCTTCTCTGTTGTTCAGCTCACAGTAACACAGCTGAACTACCTTTATTTTTCCTTCCTGTGTATCCACCATAAACCTCAGCAAACTGCCGGGCAGAATCCATATCCATGGGTTTTTAGACGCTCACTGAACATCACACAATGACATTTAAAAATATTGGAGTGAAGTTTGTACTCGATTAAAACAAAAAACTATTTGGTTGTTGTTTCCACTCTAAATACGTGCTTAATTAAACCTCCTAGTTATGTATACTGCTTTGTGTTTCATTTTGATTATTTAAATGATGAAAGTAAATATGTTGAAGTAGTCCTCATGAAAAGGGCCAGTCCTCAGAATGCTCGTTTTATATTAAAGGCAAATAAACTTGAATGGATGAGTTTCCTGATAGTGTTGATTATTCTGTTGTTCAACGTTTTAAAGGAGAAATAACAATCCTACTTCAAAAAGAGTATTAGGCCACTCAATAAATTGCAGCTCTGCATGGGGGGGCAGCCCAATTAAAGTAAAGAAAGTATTTTGTTTCTCTCCACCACCTGAATGATCCCACATTGCTTGACAGCTCTAAGTGTCGTCAGAGCAACGTCACTAATTAGAGAGGAGAGGTTACTGTCCAGGGTGCTGAATCCTGAGCCTTTCAGTGCAAAGCAGCTGCACGGTCGCAACAGGTGGGTGTGCGTTTAACGACTCAGGACATATGGATGGAGTATAAAAACTGATCAGAAAAATGTTCACTTATTTAAAGAAGATAGAGAATATTTAAGGGGGAAAAGTCCGACAAAACCTTTTTTTTTTCTTTTCTGCTTGCTAAGATGGACCTGCTCCCAGCCCAGGAGGCTGCTAAGATCTACCACACCAACTATGTGAGAAATTCCCGAGCCATCGGCGTCATGTGGGCCGTGTTCACCATCTGCTTCGTCATCATCACCATGGTGGTCTTCATCCAGCCCTACTGGATCGGGGACAGCATCAACACCCCGCAGGCCGGGTACTTCGGCCTCTTCCACTACTGCATCGGCAACGCCCTCACCTCGGAGCTCACCTGCAAGGGCAGCCCGCTGGACTTCGGCTCCATCCCTTCACCGGCCTTCAGGACCGCCATGTTCTTCGTGGGCACCTCCGTGCTGCTGGTGGTAGGCACCATGGTCTGCTTCAGCTTGTTCTTCTTTTGCAACGCAGGGAACGTCTACAGGATCTGTGCGTGGATGCAGCTGGCCTCAGGTGAGGAGGAGTGCGGTTTCTTCAGTGGTAGAAGGAAGGCTACATGTACTCCAGTGCTGTAGTTAAGGACAATTTTGAAATAGGCTACTTGTACTTCACTCCAGCACTTCCATTTACTTCTTCTCTACCACATCTCAGAGGTTAATATGATATGTTTTACTCCACTGCATTTATTTCACAGTTACATATTACTGTTCAGATGGATGTTTTATATAAAAACGTAGTTAATGATTAAAGTACCCAACAGCATATACAGTATTAAAACTAACTCACATGTTAGTGCATTAGTAATAATAATCTGATGTAATATAACACAACGAAATGCTCCTTTCTGCATACTTTTACTTTTGATACTTAAAGTACATTACTTACTGCATGTACTTTTTGAATGCAGAACTTTTACTTGTAATGGAGGGTTTTTTTTTACATTGGGGCATTACTACTTCTACTTAAGTAAAGAAACTGACATCATTTTGTATTTATTGAATTATGTTTGTAGGTTACATTATGGTTACACTTTATTTTGTAGTCCAGAACTGACACTAAACTTACAACTGAGTGAAGATTACAATGCCAATGATTTACTTGGAGGTTAGACATCAACTGGTATTACATGAATAGTAATATCTACAATATTATCAGATTAATGATATTGAAGCATTGTGTGAAAAATACTGTGGAAATTGATTTTGTAACTATGTCACCAAAATGTCTACTGGGTTTAAGATGAAGGCTTAAAAAGAAAAGCCCATTCCTTTAAGAGTTAAGATTATTATCTTGACCAAGGTCAAAGGTCACAGTCGATGAAGTTACTCCACAACTTTTTATTAATTCTACTTTGTAAAACCTTACAGCTGCTATCCAAATAAAGGTTCATTTGTCCAAATAAACATTTAACATTTATCAAAGTCATGAAACTTCCACAAAACCTTAGCCGAAGTTCAGCACCTGAATATTAAAACTCTGAAATGAAGCAGTGGGTCTGAAGGACGAGTGAGGCCTCTGAGGTGATAAACTCATCCTGTCGTGAGCCACCTTTCCACCTCTCTTGTTTCAGGTGTTGCGTGTGTGTGTATTGAATGTGTTGTTCTTCACTGTGGATGCCAATAGGGGATCCAGTTTCAACCCAGACTCTGACACCTCTGAGGGAGGATTGATTACATGTAACAAGATCAGGTGTTGCTGGGTTGTTAACTGGTCTAAACTCACACCTAAAACATACCAGGGCCAAGGAAACTATGATAAATGGTAAAGGCCTATACTAGTGGTGGAAACATTCAGATCATTTATAAGTAAAAAATAAAATAAAATAAAGAATACCAACACAAAAATGTACATTAAAAGTAATGGATTTAAAGTCCTGCATTCAAAATCCTGCTTAATTACATTAATCTGACGCTTTTATCCAAAGCAACTTACAATTGCTATATATGTCAGAGGTCACACGCCTCTGGAGCAACTAGGGGTTAAGCATTTGCTCAGGAACACATTAGTGGATGGGTCACAGGAGGAATTGAACCCAGGTCTCCCACACCAAAGGCATGCTTCTTATCCATTGCACTCACCACTACTACCAATATGACAGTTTTATCAACATATATATTTAAAGTAACAAAAAAAACTATGGAAGCCATGAGTTCAATCACTAACAGTGTATATAAGCAAATCATGTGTTTTTATATAAAATGAAACCTGTAAAGTAACTGGTAACTAAATCTAAATATAGTATATAAAGTAACATAGCATGTAAATAATTATAATAATAAATAATTTTACTTAAGTACAGTTCTCAAATGAATCTACTTACTTACTTTCCACCGTTGTACATAACTTGACAATGACTTGCAATGAATGCAAAATTCTGATCTTAATCTAGGTTTGTGAAGTATAGCTACGGCAAAAACCCAGAGGAAACTTTACCAGATGAAGAGCATTTAACATTTAAGAACTTTCATAACAGTACATCATGCAAACAGCACCGCTGAGCATCCTTTGCCCTGCTGCATCATAAATGAAAACCTTTGGCACTTTATGGGGTTACATCAGGCCTTATCCTGCACTGGGGGCTCAGAAGAACTTCCCTAATAATTATTTATCAAAGTAAGAGCACACAAGGGGTAATTATTGCAAGGCTCCGCCATTTCAGTGTCCCTCTTCCCCCGCAGCTGTGTTGATGGTGATGGGCTGCATGATCTACCCGGACGGCTGGGACTCTGCGGAGGTGAAGAGGATGTGTGGCCAGAAGACAGATAAGTACAGCCTGGGGAACTGCACGGTGCGCTGGGCCTACATCTTGGCCATCATCAGCATCCTGGACGCCCTCCTCCTGGCATTTCTGTCCTTCACCCTCGGCAACCGGCAGGACAAACTGCTGCCAGATGACTTTGAGGTGGAGGGAGCAGGTTAGTGTTAGCAGACTTATCACAGTGGGGAAAACACAGGGGCTACTGATAATAGTACTATGTTGTTTTTTTTATAGTGCAGCATTTTTTGCATAACCAATTCGTAGTAGTGGAAGTTTTGTACATATACAAAGACAGATTTAAGAATGGGACCTACTGACTATTTTGTATGTATTATTTTAATTCAGTGCTTTATTTACATCATTTAGATGATTTCATTCATCCGATTGCCCCCGAAGGCTACAAATATGATGTTATGCTTTTTCCTTAAAGCTCAGAAGGCAGCATACTGTTGCCAAAACGTCAGCTCATGGGATTAAGTCTAAGCTTCATATCCATCATTTAAGTTATTAAAGAAGTTTTCTCCATATATTTAACTTTAGTTTGAATGTCTAATAACCAGTATTGAGGAGTTAGTTTAGTAATAATAATGCATTTTATTTGTCTGTGCCATTCAAGTCACCCAAAGACACTTTACAAAAACCAGGTAATACAGTTTATACATAGTAAAAGACAGAAGTGGCAAGAACAAGCCAGCAAGTACACTGATAATAGAAACATTATGATACACAAAATACATTGACATTACGAAGCACCAGGAAAGGCTAATCTAAACCTGAGGTTTCAGTTTCAATTTAAAAGAACCAACAAATGCACACTGGAGAGAGTAGATGGGCATCAGGGGAACGTAGTGAGCCCGAAGGTGTGTAGAGATGGAGTAGATTTTATAAGTTTTGGATGTGCTAGGCCATGGAGAGATTTATAAACATTAACTACTTAAAAGTAGATGTGGTATTTCACTGGGAGCCAGTTCAGTTGTCGAAGCTAAGGGGTGATGTGCTTCCATCGTGATGGGATCGCGTGTGGCAGCGAACTCTTGCAGCCAGATTCTGTTCATACGGGAGTCTGTTAAACAGCCGAGTGGGTATAAAAAGGAGAAGGGCATTACAGTAGTTAAAAAGGGATGCGCTAGTCATGAATCAAGGTCTGTGCTTCAGAGTGGGAAAGAGAATGCTGTAAAGTGGTAGACCCAGTGTCTGGAATCCATTAAATAAAAAGGTATCTATGAGAGTGTTTTCTCCTCCTTTACAGGAGACCCCTGATGAACACAAACCTTCAGGACCACCGTGTGATGCAGATGTACTTTGATTGTGATGAACAGGCATCTTGAAATGTCTTGATTTGCTTCAAGTGAAACCGTTTTCATAGTTGTATCGACTCTGGGTTAATTGAAATTTAACAGCTCTTTACTGCTTCACAAGAGCTGTTGTTTTTTATTTTGTACTTCATGTCAGACACCTAATAAACTCACAGAAACAAGCGTGACAGTCATTTTGTGCTGTATGAACATCTGTTTTATTGTATGGTGTGTTGTACAGTTTTTTAAACTGACAGCTCACATAAAGTCTTTGCTCTTGAATTTCACACTGATGTAAATTTTGTTTTTTCTACCTTGGCCTCAACAGATACATAGGTTACTTTAAAATATGATCAGTTTGGGACACCATTACATAACATCAGATCTCACCATTTCTATGGTAAAAACAGTGACATTATTGAACAGTTGGCCATACATACAGAACACATCTTTCATACGCTTTATTAAAACACAGCTACCCAGCTAAATAATTTTAGCTAAGATATAAGATTTGTTAAAAACTGTACATAACTGTAATATACATAAAGGCAAAGTCTTTGGTACAGATATATACAGTTTATTTTCATTACATTTTTTTTCCTTTAAATTGGGCTTCTTAACATAGTCATCTTGTTGAAACCTTTAAAACACTATTCCTGAATTGTAATAAGTGTATGAGAATACCAGCCTCCCATTAGAATGAAAGATCTAATTTATTCTAATTAACTAACCACCACGCTAAATACCAGGTGAGAATGGATTTGTTATGGCTAAATAATATGACCTACATTATCAGACAGTGGGCTTCTCTGTAAGAAACTAGAGTCTGCTGGAGAAATGCTAATACACAGTCAGTGTAAATGTCAGCCCAGTGTGCAACTTCCTAAGCCTACTTTACAAATACAAAATATTTACCTTACATGTGTAATATAAAGATAAAATTATTCAATAAAAAAAAAAAAAAAAAAAAAAAACACACACACAACAACACAGCACTAATGAAAATGCACGAGAATAGAAGTGATAGCGGGTCCTTTTTTAAAGGGGACAAAAATGACCAATAAAGGCTACATATCCTTGCTTTGTTTGGGTTTTAGTGCAGGAGTGTAACAAACAAGGATGAGTCACTAGCAGTACAATAACAGGTTTGCTTCGTTCGCACAGCAGTTGGAGCCAACATAACCATAAAAGTAAAATATTCCACTGGATTCTGGACGTCACCGCGCCAAGAGAAGAACCAACAAATACAAGCCAAACATACACAGAAGCTTTAGTTCAAGAATGAGAACATAAGAGACCCAAAACGACGAAACAAAAAGAGAAATAAATATTCATCTGATATGCCCAAACTGGAAAGTGATCTGTTGCAGTCTCTGGAGAAGGTGAGAGGGAAGGGAGGTGCAATGGCTTGAGGGCCCCACTAGAGGGAGAGCCAGGGGTGGCGCAAGCACTCTGCGGCCGTGGCTCGCTTCTCTGGGATCAGCTCCAGCATGGGAAGCAGGAAGTCAGTGAAGCACTCTGCTTCTTCACGGGGCCACTCGTACTTGTCAATCAGCACCTCCAGCAGGCCCCACGGCTTCAGCTTGGTGATGTGTTTCAAATCACCTGCAGACGACCAGTCAGTCAGACAGCGTTATATCAGAGCGGTGCAACTTCACTACAACAAGGTAATTAAATCTGTGAAAACATTTATTAATATCTAGGCATACTTTCAATATTTATAATTTATAATATACTTTATTAACCGTAAATGTGTTTCCAAATAGGTATTTCTTTTGAATAGCAATATCTAACGTAGGAAATTTAACAATAAAAAGTGAAAAAACTAAAACATATGTAAAAATAGTTATGACAATTATGTTATGAAAGTAAGTTATGAAAATCTCTATGGCATGATCTAGACCAGAGACAGAGAACCTCTTCTAATCTTGACACCGATGCTTGCTTCTTTTATTCTCTTCTCTTTTTCTTTTTTTTTCTTTTTTTACCTTTCTTGGTGAAAAAATCCTTGGAATATTTGCCGTTCATTATGAGTTTGCGTGGGACGCTCCCCAGCAGCTCAATGATCAGCGCTATATGGTCTACAAGGGCAGACGATTGCAAGAGGAGAGGGGAAGACAGAGACAAGACAAACAACAGATTTGTCAGACAGTGTCCCAGTCACAGGCCCACTCTGGGTGTGTGTGTAGAGGGCTGAGGTAGAGAGGGGTCGGGCTAACAGCACATGCACACTTGGGCCAGATTATTGCAGCGTTTGGGGTGCACAGACCTACAGTTAGGAATCAGGTTATCAAATATGGCCACCAGACATTACAAGAGCTGTAAGGTTCTTAAACTTCAAGAATCAGTAGATTCAGATTTGCCATGGCAGTCAAAGAGACACAGGGTGGGACACGAACAAAAATCTCATATTGCTGGTGACGAATTCATACTACAATTAGGGTGGACAATGCTCTTTCTGAGATTTGTAAACAGCCTTTTACTGAAATAGTCTTGCTGTTGCAGACTGCAGACTGCTGCGCTCAATACTGGACCAATTTCAAAAATTGTTGTCCCAATTACTCACACAGACACAAAACATGGGAAAATAGTGTGAGAGACTCCTTTGAAGTTAAGTTAAATGCAAATTAAATTAGTTAAAATCAAACCACTGCTGTGGCTGACTTTACACTCTTGACTCCCCTGTGGAGGAAAAAAGTAATGGGAAATTCCCCTATGAGGATCAATACAGTACCAAGTGTCCAGCCAAGTCCTCTGGCTACAACGAAAGAGGTCCTAAATGCACTTCTACCAGGCAATCTTTGGCAGAACTACCGACACTTGAATCGATGGCACTGTTCCAAGTGTTTTGAACACTTTGAACAGTGCCATCAGTGAACACAGTGTTGTTCAATATTTATTGGTCTGTATTGATTATTTTGCTCACTGGCCTGCAAACACCGACAAATTTGTTAGATCTGAATGTGCTGACTGTGCTGGCAGGAGCCTTCCCCCTTTCGTCTCCCATCCACCTTTCCCAGAGCGAGCCATTGGCAGAGGGGTAGCATACCTCTCTTGGTGAAGTATTCCTGTGAGTATTTCCCACTCAGAGCATAGTGACGAGGGATTTTACCAAGCAACTCAATCATGAGAGCAAGATGGTCTGAGAATGAGGCACATCAGAGGAGGAGAGGGGAGAGAGAAAGTCAGAGGGTTATAGTTTGGAGAGAGGAGGAGATGACAAATGAGAGAGGGGACAGGGGAGAGATTGCAAATAGTCGTGTGGAACGATGTATTACAAACAATGGATGATGACAGCCTAGTATTTACAAAAAAGCACAAGTATGGGATGCCTATATTATTTTTCCACATCAAAAGCTATTACAAAAGTTTGAACACATGTGGGCCATTAACTTTCACATAGGCAAACAAACCATGAAGACTGAATCAGCTTGAAAATCAGGCTTAAAGCACAGCCACAGTGAGTACAGCAGATTATGATACAGTATGAGTGATGATCCAAGTCTCAGCCAGTAACACAACAGAGAAAGCTGTGGAAGAACATTAAGCAAAAGCCTCATGAGAACATGTGCTGTAGGTGCAAAAAGCCAATTCATAGCTGCGGGGCATGCAGCAATAAACTGAAGGTTGTATCTTAGCAAATACCAAACTTGTTGCAGCAGAAGCAAGTCACTACAGACACCTCGAGCTAAACAGCAAGCCAATACCAACGTAAAGAAAGCATATGGAGGAGAACAAGGAAATGTGAAGAATGAGTGAGGAGGTGAAGAAAAGATGAGCAAGGAAGTGAGCGATGGCCCCGGCTCCAGTGTAGCAAAAAAAATAATGTGGTTTGAGCTGTTAGAGAGGAAATAACCACAGGAACGCTGGCACTCATCATTTCATGATTCACATCTACATTTCTTCTAAATTTGAAATCACTGCAATGAGAGTACCTCATTTAAGTGTTAACACTGTGGAAATTTAAGCCAAGTGGACTCCAACTTACTGTGCAGTCTGCACAATAAGCTGGAGTGAAGGCCACAACTAGTACACAGTAAGCATGGTATACTGTGAAACTCTCATTAGATGTGTGGATGTTTTCAATCATTTGTAATGGCAATAAAACACCAATGGAGGCCAATTTAACAAGAAAAACATCATGAAGCTTTTCACAGTAGCAATAACTGTTAAATGTTACCACCCATGCTAAATGTCTCTTACCCGTGAAGCATACATTTCACAAAATACTACTAAATATCAAATTTAGGATTAATGCTGTGAAGTCATAAGTGGATTCAACAGAGAAAGAACAGGAAGTCCCAGCAATACCTTCATCTCTTGAATAATCTTCCCCAGAATGTGGCTCAAACAAGTAGTCCCCTGTGGCAAGCTCAAATGCCTGAGGAGACAACAAAACAATCATAAAAACAGGAACAGACTGTACGAGGGGAAATATTTACTTCCTCACATCACTTGCTACACTCTCACAACCCTACTGAAGTCTTTTCAAGGTACATCCAAGTATTTGTGAAACAGGGCGATAGCTGATAGTCCGTGCAGTCTCTCACCATGCAGGCTGTGCTCCATATGTCGGCCGGTGTGCTGTATCCAGAACCAATGAGTACTTCTAAGGAACGGTACTGCCGTGTCTGGATGTCTTCTGTAAAGTGCTTGTGCTGAGAGAGGGAGATAAGAAAACATCTGAACAAACAAGATTCCATAACATGTGTACATGCCACAGCCAACAGATTGGGTCCCATTATGATGGGAGAAATATATTAAAAAATTAGAAATCTGTGAGTGGACTCTGCAGAAGCCTGAAGGACTAGCAGAGCTGTATCTGACTTTATCTACGATTCCATCTTAAATCTAGATCAATACCACACATTAAACAAAGAGCTGGAAGATTTAAGTATTTCTATTTTGGTAGCTAGATGACACTGGATATGTCCCTAGCTGGGAGACGTCATCCCTAATCAGGCAATCCCTCAGGTCATTAGTAGGCTACTCACCACCCAGCAGGCATTTCCCAAATCTGCAATCTTGACCTTGATCTGGTCTGCATTGAGTGGCTCAAGGGGGTTAACTAACAGGGATCCTGCTGTTAGCTTGCCTACATCAGAGCAGAGAGAGAGACACAAGAGAGATAAGGACGGACTAAACATCTAATAAAACAAGAGCCTAACGGTCAGTATTTCAAAGTTCCCATGGCTGAGCCCTTATTAAACTTCCGAAGCCAGCCACAGAGGACAGCTAGTAGATTTACTGATTTTGGCTGACTGACCGTTTCTCAGGCTTTCCTGGGTTGTATATTGACAGTCAGGACCGTCGTCCTGCAAAATGCTTTGCTCGAGCTCTCCCTCCTCCAGCCCAGCGAGAAGGTGTCTCTCCATTACTCCACTTCTGTGAGCACCCCTGTCTTTAGTCTCTGCATCCAGCTCCTTGAGATCTGCAGAGTCCACACCGTTGCAGATGGGGTGAACAAGGGACTCCTTGCGTTGCTCCTCCTGACTGGCACATTCCTCTGTGGGCTCTGCGTTGCCATTGTGTTGGTCTTCGTCCCTCCATTGGGACTGCCTCTGGTCTACCTCCACATGGCCATTACAGTTCAACTCTGACAGCCCTTCGGGCCCCACCCTCATGAGATCTGCATTCACAACATATTCGAAAGAATCAGGAGAAGACAGAGGGAAATTCTTTTCAGATGACTCATACCAGGGATTTTATTCAGAACTTTAATCAATAAGAAAAAAAGTTTAAGAAGCATTACTCGTGTGATGTTGGCTTCTTACCCTCCGTTTCCTCATTTCCTAGCTCGAGAAGAGACACCTGTCTGAGAGGAGCGCAAGCCCGTCCCTTTGGAGACTGCGGGTCCTCATCTTCATCCTCTTCCTCCTCTCTTGTTTCTGTAGTCTTCTCCATCTCCTCCAGGTCCATAATGCACTTTTCTAGCAGCTCCGCCTGACGCTTCTGCTTCTTTTTTAACTTCTTCTTCTTGTTCTTGGACATTTTTACTGTCTGTCAGGGATGAACATAAGAAATAAAATATCACTCATGGACAGTAGCACATCAGTGGGACTGCCTTAAAATGTGTGTTATAATGAGAATGTGGGAGGCAACCGTCCTGTGCAAAAAGTAAATGATAAAAAGGTTGTACCTGTTTTGGAGCAGGTGCTGTGCTTACTGAAAAGTGAAAATCAGATGAGTCAAAAACTGTTACCAAGCTGTGCTCATGAATGCACATGTGAACATATATGTTTGTATGTGTGTGTTTGTGTCCGTCTCATACTTGCTGAACCAGAGGGGGGAGGCGCCCCAGCCCTCTGCCACTCTGTGGCTTCAGCTGCGAGCTTCCGGACATAAGGCTCATCAACACTCATCAGGATATTCTCCGGCTTGATGTCTGTGTGGATGATCTCACACTTTGTGTGCAGGTAGTCCAGGCCTTGGAGTACCTGGAAAATGAATGAATGGGGAGTAATTGACTAATTGTAAAAGCTTTACTGTATATTTGAACTGAAATAAACACTTTTTAATATTTCAATTTCCTTTTCTCTACGTCTCTTTTGGTTTTCCAGTTAAAATATGTGGAATAAAAAGGCTGATGCATATGGGCCTCATAGAAACTCAAATCTAGATAATGAGCTAACTAAAAATACAAAAAAAATCAATGTAATTAGCTATTGTTATAGATATCCAATGTAAAATCAATTATTCACGCGTAAATAATATACTTAATACCTAGTGACAGTGTATATATAATCTATCTCAATGGAGTCTTTTGTAATATACTGCTGAATCAGTTATTCGTCAGAATGACAAAGTTCACAATTAGTTAAAAAAAAGAACATTTTTTTTATCTCACTCGATCTGTCATGTTAAGAGCCTTGTTTAACTTTCTAACTGTCCGTATGTTCAATTATGCAATGCCCCGCCCTGACTGTTTTCCACCTGTCAAACTGCCTGGGAGCTACCTGGCCCTTGTAAACTAGTAGAAGCTACAAGCGAACCTTAATCACGAGTCACCAGCACACAATAGGCGCGACACTGCGGGTCTCAGGTTACCTGTCTTACGATGCTCTTCACACACGGCAGGGGCAGCCCTTGGTAATTGGACTTTATTATCCATTTTAACAAGTGATGCCCCAACACCTCAAATACCATGCAGACATCTGATGATCGCAGCAGTTAAGATATTAACAGTGCAATACAGGTAAACCCAAACTTAAAAAATCCCATCAGAAGAAAACAATTTATTAAAACAATGTGAGGCCCTGTGGTCCATTTACCTACAGGAGGAGTAGCATTATTTATATTGAAAAGAGGGCAGCTCATAGGAGTGCAAACACTACAGCGTTGTTACAGAGTCTCATATTACAGCTCCAGCAATCCTTGTGGCATTCAGGGGATCTTACTAAGCCAACGCGTTGTGATAGGTGGAGGTCTGTTTGGGACACACAAAGCTCCATTTACTACACCAATCACCTGTTGTTTACCTTGTTTCTGGCAAACTCTCCTCCAGCTAAATTTGACACTAGGGGACAGATTGATCCTTTTCTTTGACAAAGTATTTTTCTAGGAATTACACAGGCTTTAGTTTTTCCAGTAGGAAGCTATTAAATGGATCAAACCTGGGCCATAAAACATACCAGGAAGCATTAGCGATATTTGGCTGTAAAGGATACGAGTTCCATTGACACCAGAGATCTTGAAGTCGTCTAGCAGCTGGACCACCATTTCCCGGTTGGGATCATTGGGGTCTGAGTTTCTTACCTGGGGACAAAGAAGGAAGAGCACAATCGAAACAATCAGGATTTATACCGACTAAAGTTAGACTGAGCCAATAATGGATTGCCGTACGTGTCTCATAGTCATGTAATACTGCTTGAACACACATGTCTAAAATGCTGAGTGTTCGAACGCAGTACTGTATGTGAAACATTACGTAAAGTCTGTAATGGCTTACAGTGTAAACAAGGTCCTGTTGTCCTTGTGATAGTCTTTTTACAAAACAGTGACTGATGTGCCTGCGCTGATGGAATTACTGTGCTTCCGGATGTGATTCCAATTCACAAAAGTGTGTAATTAACTCAGCTACTTACAGATCTGAGGAGTTTGATCTCATCCACTGCCGTCTCCGTGTAGTGCTCCGCACTCTTCACCACCTTCATTGCGACAAACCTCTTCACCCTGCAACCACAGAGCAAGTAACGTTCGCAAACAGGAAGCACCGTACAAGGTCCTACCACAACAGTCTCACAGTCAGCTGCTACTCAATCTGCATCCAACTTCAGGCCTCAAAAACAAAAAACAGTGCAGTAAGAGTATGCAGTAAATATTTTTTCGTACTGGATGTCCCAGGCGAGCCACACGGTGGAGAAGTGTCCCCAGCCCAGTTTCCGGATGACATGGTATTTTCCGTTGTAAAGGTCTCCTACTTTCACGTGGTGGTAGCCGCCTAGATGAGAAGAAAATGCATGTTGTTTTTTCAAATGTCCAGACAGTCAGGTAGTACTCTGGTTATTTTAACTGTCATATAAAACACCTCGAACGGGTTATCTTATTTTAATGAAGTGGCATAACACAGTCCCTTCAGGATTTCATGATGTTGCTACTATTAAAACAAATTCAACAAATCCCTTTGAATTCAACGAGACTTGCAATTTTTACCAATCAGCGCAACTTTTCCGGATATTTGACCCATCATCGCCATTTTCCACAAAACGTTGTCATATGTCAGCTTGTCACTTCCTTGTTTATAAGACACAGCAGACATGTGCGATACCAACATCTCACTTTTGCCGTCAAAAAACAACACAGAAAAAAATAAATAAATACTGTGAAACAGTATCCAGATCTTCTTTGCAAAACATGTAGTATTGTGGTCGAACATAACAATCATCTATTCACAAACACTTTGCCACCGCAAAACATACTCAGAGAGTGGCAGAAACACATGGAGTACGTCAGATGAGACAAATCAGGCTGTTGCATCCCGGTCAATTGCAAGCGCTTAAAGAATCAAGGTAAGTTGGATTAAATATGCACGGTTAGGGCTAGGGCTGCGAAATCCTGGAGGGACTGTTTAATGACTCAACTTTAATTCTAAAGTTACACTTGACTTATTCCCACAATTTCAGTGCAAAACAAATTCCCCAAAACATTGCAACTTTCATCGCAATTTTTTCAGAAAAGCTGCAGCAAAAATCAGGCATTTTAGATGCAACAATGACTAAAAAGCCCAGTGAAAACCTGGAGGGACTGAAAACATTATTGGAGAGGTTTGCTGACTGCAAGTAAAACAAAAACTTTGATCAAAATGTTGGTTATTCTCTATAACTGTTTTACAGTGGGCATGTAAACATACTAAGTAAGACGGGATTCACCTTTGCAGTAGTCATTGGGGTCCTCTTGCTCCTCATCATCAGAGCCGAGAATCTCCTCAGGTTCCTCGGGTTCCTGAGGCGAGGCTTCTAGCTGCGGCTGCTGTCGACTTCTGGGATTGGCTGGCTGTCTGATGGACAAGTACACCAACCATGATAGACCTCATTAGAAACAACATGACATCCCTGACATCTTTCTTGGCAGAATACCAAGGTCCTTTTTAGCTGGAACTTTCACAGCATCTCTTACCAACAACCTGTCCAAATATTTGAAATGCATTCCTTGATGTCACCAAAAGAAAGCGTTGTATGTAAAAACATTTAATTTAAAAACTTTAAGTTTTAATGTTAAACACCCTTCAGAATGTTCTGTAATTCGAATGACCTTGAACTCCATAAGCTCAGCAAATAGAAAGATGCCTATCTGATAGATAGATAGATAGATAGATACTTTATTTATCCCGAGGGAAAATCAAGTATCCAGTAGCATACGAAACATACATACATTAAACCTATATTAGAACAGAATTAAAATTAAAATAACTTATAACACAGTAAAACAGTGCAAAAACAGTAAACAGTGCAAATGGAGCGCAGATGGAAGTAAAGAGTGTCTGCCAATTTGTTTGAACTTCTAAATTGCTCCTTCTATAGATACCACAATACAATTCTATATAAGCAATATTTACAGAAATGTCTTTATGCATAGCTCTTCAGCTGATGTGTCATTTTAACACAGTCCTATTTAAGGTTCAGTCTGCAATGTATGTTATGTTACATTATTTAGGCAAATTGAAAAACACTGCTGAATTAGGACTTTAGTACTTGGTATTGGTACATAATAAATTATCATGATCCAGATCAAGAAAACTGCAGCTGCATTAAAGAACAAAGAAATACATGCATCATCATTAAGGATAAGGCCTGGCTAAAAGCCCGTGTGTTACTGGTGTCTCGCAATTACAAAATCTCAATCATATTGTCATTATGTCAGGTTATCAGGTTGTCAGATGGAAGAGAAAGTACATCTAGAGAAAGTCATAGAAGACTGAACAAAAATTAAGATATGAAGAATATGGCTCATGGTTTTGTTGACAACTACAGACATAAAATGCACTTACATATTACTATTGAATATTAATATTAAGTCATACATATTTTTATATGTGAAATTAATATATAGCTGTTCCGACGTTTCAACCAAGCACAATAGGGCATTTTTGACAACCAGGATCTAAAATGGTTCATACATATACACACAACATCCTATAATCTGTGTCAACAGTTCAGTTGCTAATATTAACTTGAAAGCCAAACAGCCTGATGTTACTTCCTCCACAGAGGTGATTAAGGCTGCTCATCACCATGGAAGCTGAGAGAGCACAAATCGCATTCAAATAAATTCCTAAACTGCTCTATAGTGTCACACAAGTGGGCTGCTGGTTTCCACGTAATCTACAACCTACTAACCAGACACTGTTATCTGAAGCAGAGAGGTTTTACCGCATGTTTGTGCAGCACTGACGGAACAAACTGCTGCGATTACTGAATTAACCAAAATGAATCAGACTTTCTAATGATGTTTTTACCATTTGATATGCATTCGCTACACTTGCATTACTGCAAATCTTGTCATTATTAACCCATTTGTGTGAAGCAATCAGAATTGGCGTAAATAATGAATCTTCTTAACTCTCATACTCAGTCACAGCTCTTCAGTGACCTTTGAAGAATGAAGATAGCAATGAACCAAAAGGAATATTATCACTTAAATGTGGAGCCAGACGCAACTCAAATTAGTCATATTTACATGAAACATGGTACATGGATGTTGTAATTTTCATATTTTTTCACACTTTATGTGTAAAGGCAAAAGTGTGTCTAGTACTCAGGTTTTTCCGATGTGCGTTTTCCCTGAAAGGCTTACATTAAACATATATTCATCGTGACAACTGATTCAGAGCTAATCTCCTACACTCCAACAGAAATGAGCGTTTTCTCTTCTATACATATAGTGCTCAGCATGCGAGGATAACTGTGGCATGCAACTGTACTGTTTTAAGTTATATTTAGTTCTTCAGGATCATATGAATCTTCTGTCTAATGGACATGCCAGTTTCAGCCATGAAGAGAGAACACTGTCAGGCAGTGAGTATCTGCAATAGTGGGGTTTTCGCTTAAACACCATGCTTCGTTGGACTGATGTGGGCTTCTTCATTCTGTGGTTTTAAATATAGCACAGGCTGTTATGCAACACTCCGGAGGATGCCGCTGATGGCATGATTAGTAGATTGTTAGGTACACCATAACAATCAGTGTTGGTGCTCAATGCTTGAGTGGTCTGTTTTGAGCCCTCAATGCTGCATTATCTTAATGCAAATCATTCATAAATTTTGACAGTACAGAACAGGCAGTTTATTTCAAGCACTGCATACTCTATACAGATACCTAACAACGTATATCTCACTAAAACATATCTTATTAAAACATCTGTCGAATGAATAATGGTAGTGCCCCATTCAAAAATGGAAAGCTATGGAAACCAACCCAGAGTGTTCAATGTCATAATAATTTTGAGATATGTCAGTCTTTCACTTCTTTATCTTCGGATCGTGCACAGAACAAAATGAAGCATGAGGGCAAGCATGCAGTCAAGGAGCTTGAGTCCGTTTCACAGCTAGAAGGTCTAGACCATGTACAGCACATGTGTCAACCTGCAACAAACAACCACCTCTGACTGAGTACACTTGACAAAATGCATGCCTGAAGGTGCCATGTACACCATGAAGAGACAACAAGCTTTAACTGAAGGGGGGTGGAACTCACTTTTTGACGGTCTTCTTTGCTTTCACCCTCTTCTTCCTCGCCTGGAGTGCTAGAACTGTCAACAAAAAGACATCAGTAACCAATTACTTTGCCATTGTCTGGTGGCCGTTTGTTGTCTAGCTGACACTCGAGACAAAAAAAACGATGACAATGTCTGAGGCAAAGAATTCAACTACCTCACCCTACAGCTCATAAACTCAGTCATTATGCACTGTATTGTCATATTTGCAACTACCAATATCTAGATCATCGTTGCAGTGCATCTGTCGGTCAGCCAGTGACCCGGGCTGATTTGGGAAGCCGTCTAACGTGAAGTTACATCACTAAGCTACAATAACCGTTCTTCCAAAACACTATAACGTTATGGCATTAAGTAATTTCACACACTCGGGTGGCTAGCTGGTTGGTTAACACAGTAACGGCGGGTTAATGTTGTCGGTGTTTTAGGTTGTAAAATATAAAGAGCTTGAGTGTTACACGCAGCTAGATAATCCTGACATGTCCCATTGAAGCTAAAGCTAATGTCTGAATAGCTAACGTAGCTCGCTCCAGCTCAACAGTGCGTGACAGACCCGTTCAATTAATCCACCATCTGAATATATACAGCTCGGCTAAACTTTACATTTGTGACTGTGGAGGAGCATCAAATGCAGTGTCAGCACACACACTGGCTAACATTAGAAATACAGTGTGCAGCGTGTCGGTGTAAAGGTTTACCTTTTCTCTCCATGTTGGCTGGATTCGTAGCCTAGCCGTTAGCTACACCACCAGTGATCGAATGTTCCACGCATGCGCACTGGTTCGTTGTGCTGGCGTTCACCTGGGCTTCAAACCTTTGTTTTATGGGTTTTTACCTATGGTTTTTACTATATTGAAGCTAACATTAGTCAGTGTCAAGACAGTGAACAGCCTTATAAAGAAGTATTTTATGTGATAGTACTATTTTTTTTGCCTTTTTAACTTTTACTGCATATGTACTCATTATTAATATTAGTATTTAATTTACTATTTATTACGACCTTTCTGTTAATACAGTAAAATACTGTACATATCTACAGTCCTTATATTTGTATTTGAACCCATGCCATGTCAACTCTACCAGTACTCATTATTGGTATTCATATCTAATGCATTAATAGCCTACTATTTAGGCTATCATTATATTTCTGTTAATACTGTACATATACACACTCCTTTATATTTAGATTTTTAGATTTGTATATTTCATTATATTTTCTGCTAGTGTTGTAGTACTCGAGACCAGTCTTCAGACCACTTTTTGATGGTCTTTTTTCGTCTTGACACGACCGCATTTGTACTGGGCAGGTGATGTGATGTGATTGGACAGACTGGATTCTTGAGGCTGATGTCAATAAATATTTAAAAGTCTAAACATGATATATTTGTAATATTCTTATTATTCTGATATATATATATATATATGCATAACGTTTTATTTTTTTAATGGCAAGTATCCCTTAAATGTGGTTAATACAGTTAAAAACAAACTTGTCACAAACTGTAACAGGACGCCATTTTTAAAATACCATAAATACATAACTTTGGCTTTTCTGTACTAATTTCTTGTTACTTTTGGGCCAACTTATATGTTAAAACTATATATCTGTTTTAAGTTACTATCGCCTGATTTAAGGGCTCTGGGCCATATAACAGGGCAGGCTATAATTTTAGCATTATTTTGTCAGCACCTTGTGTTACAAAATTGTGGATGAATGGGCATTTGACATTGGCAAATGACAATACGGCAATTAAGTAAAATAACTAGATAAAGACAACATTCATTTTCCATTTGAAAAGTACTGCTTAACCATAGACAAAAATGCAGCGACCATCTGTCCTCCTGCACGCAGATCAATCACAGTGCACTCAAGACTTCTTTAAAAAGCAAAGACACTTATTCTGAGACCAAGTTTGTGATTGAACAGCCGATCTGTGGTTCGAGATTTTCTGTTCATCAGTGTTTTGCTCAAGAATGCTTAAACTGGGCAAATACAGTGGCTGTATGTCCTCATTGTTGGTGCTTGAGAGAAAGTCTAAAATTTGCATTAAGTAAATGGGGTAATGAATCATGAACTTTCAAAATGAAAAATAAAAATCGTTGTCTACTAGGCAAAATCAGACATCAATTCATTCATTATTTCTCAAGTGAAATCACTGAGGAGTGGCACAACTGATAAAAATTGGAAAATTGGAAATAAAACATGCTGTAGAGGAAATAGAAAAAAAACACAGGTCTCTTGAAAATAAGTCTTTATTTTGTTAAACAAAGGACTGAAGATAGTAGTTACTTTGCTGGACTGAAAATAGTTTAAGGGATTTTTCGATTGTTGTTTATAAATACCACCTCCACAAAGTATAAATACATCCGAAATGCCTCTTTTGCACATTTAAGCAGTATTTCTATTAGAGGATTTTAGCATGACACTTAAAATTCTTGTAAACCAAGAACTCACTCTCACAAACGCACACAAAATACTGATTTACTTACTAAAAGTGATTGCTTCATAACATAACCACAATAAGTCAGAGATTTAAAGAATATGGCACAGATATTTACATATTTTTGAGCAGAGCGTGTACCCATGAATTTTTTTTTTCCTATTTTAGGTGCCTTGTTGAATAGCGCTGTCCTTAAACAGCAGAGGCTCAGCTTTTTCTGTGTAGCCGACATATGTATGAGTCTCACAGAGCATCTAAAACTATCAAAATAAACACTAAAATGTGTAAAATGCATTTGGAGAGCACAAAAAGGTCGCCGACTACACAGAACAGGCACATTCTCAAATTGTCAAATACCTAAAAACATAAAAATCTACTTCTGTCACAGATATAAAATCCCTTCAAATTATCTCTTTTTTTAAATATAGGAACAATCATGGCAATAGCCGAATACACGCGACCCAGTTCTAAATGTGACAACTCGGCAGGGTAAGTGGTAGACTAGCATAATCCTTTTTCCATTGATAGACGCAAAAGCTTATTCATAAGTTACTCTATAGAACATTTTAAAACACAAAATAGCACAGCTATAGGTCCAGGTGTTTCAGCATCTCAATGTCACAGTGATGAAAGTCTAAATTGTTTTTAAAAAAAGATCTGAAGAATATACATTATTTCAGAGATTGGCAAGAAGTGAAATTTCCCAGCAACAGATCATCAACATTAGTGGTTCATAAATAAGAATAATGATTATTGGTCAAGCTCTTCCCTGTGCTGGTAATGATCTCCTTACAAGAGCTAATCATGGACAATGTTTTCTCGGTTAATAAAGACTGACAAATGTTGGCAGGCATCTCTTTAACACTAATGCACATGTTGGAGGTTGTTACAAATTGTCTGAAGCTGGGGTCGAAGTGGGTAGCATGTCTCATCACTCCATGTCATCCTCATCGAAGATCGGTGCCTGAAAACTGGACACCTCCTCGTAGGTTAATCCTGCAAGAAACGAGAAAATGTTCAAGCGCATATCAGGTTTTCTATCGTGTCAGTGCGGCATACAGTAACAACTTTTACCTTTACAGAAAACAAGCACATGATCAGATTTCTACGGATTAGTTTTTCCAATAATTTCTGTCTAGGAAAATGACGTACGTTTCCACTCTTCAATCTCCAACTCGCGGCTCTCAAAGCTCTGATCGTAGGGCTCCGCCTCAGGCTCGTCATCTGGGTCGTGGTACTGAGCGAAGTAGGGGTGAGCCAGAGCCTCGGCTGCTGTTATCCGCTTGTCTGTGTCCAGAACCAGCATTTTCTCCAAAAGGTCCACAGCTTAAAAACATGTCAACACGCGAATGAGCTACATCTAAAACTATGGTCTATGATCCATTAAAAAACCCTAGTGTCTTGACTTGTAGCATGCCCTGCATCATAACACAATACAGTCAATGTTGAGGAAAGCCATTTTTGTGGTATTACCTTGAGGGTTGGCACCAATGAACACATCAGCAAAGCTCCTCTTGGGCATGTGTGGCAAAGAGCTGATGTAGTTCCTGGCCTGGAAAAGCACATAATGTGAGCTCACACTAGTACCAACATGTCGCTCACATTCAGCACCGCCTGTTTCACAACGCTCACGTTTTCATGCTGCTGATACCGTTTAACGCAGCCACCTGCATCAAATGATAACTGCTCAGTTATTACACGTCTATTCACAGATGTGACTACACTGTATAGCACAATCCTGAATGTATATAAATACTACAGAGAGTATATAAGGTTAAGGGCTCTGTTGTATACTTCAGGGTCACTGTTTTCCACGTTTTATAAAGAGATTAGTTAAACACTTTCTGCTAAGTTTTTAGATCTGATTGTCTGTCACCACAGGATTTCTGACTGCCTGAAGTGAGACGTAGGCAGTCAAAGACACACACACACCCCCTACGTTTAGCTCGCAGCAAGCATTAGACTGACAGCCTTGACTTGTTGCCTTACAACAGCAAGACCGTCCATTTTGAACAGTTAGGGTTTACACTGCAAATATCACATTTTTTTCACGATTTTTAAATTTTATTTTAATAGTATTTTATCCATTTTAAACAAAACATACATGAATACAAAGTTTTTTCCCTTGACAATTAAAAACTGAAAATAATGAGAACCAAGTTCCCGCGAAATGGAAAAGACTGTGCTGTCCTTGTCTTCGTGTGAAGACTCAGTGGCAATAACAAAAGGATTCTCGGTGTAAACAGAAAAGTTTAGACTGCAGGCTGGAAATTATTGAAATTAATGAAAAATAACATTAATTACACAAAAACATGGTGAAAGAAGCAAGATGGGGTTTCAAGAAATGTGCACCAAAAATCAAAGAATGGAGCATCTTCCACACAGAAAATCTTGTTAGTAACTACTGTATCACCAACAGTAAGCCTAGCTATTGCACACAGTGTGCATGTTTAACTCTGCAGAGACATTTTAATACTACCCAAGTGAAATGACAAGCACAGAAAAAAAAAACATGAGTTCAGTGGCACCTCTTGCAATCACTGCTACAAATCACATGCAGCAAGCGTGTTAGACACCACACAATTACTACAATTAAACTGGAAAACTAAAATCTTAAATCCCTGATAGTGTCCTTAGAGGCCATGGTGCTTCTAACATCCCACTTGACCAAAGTCAACTGAGTGATGGTGCCATCGTTACATCCCAGCGCTCATTTGTGTGGCCATTAACATCTCCATTGCCTTATCACTTAAGACCATTTAAGTTTAATAAAGACTTACACTGTTTAATCTTGGCATCAAACATTAATGCTTTTATAATTTTTACATACACTAATATATATATATAAAAAAATCTGTCCATTTTGTAGTATGGCTCAAGATAAACACAGGATACTAAGCCAAGAGCTGCACTGCTTTAAAGCAAAGAAAAGGCGAATTACAGCAGGTCTGACTGTCCTCTCGCCCCGGTCTGCTGTGTGGTCTAGTAAAAAGCAACAGTGGATCCTGCTCACCTCGTGGCTGGGCATCCTGCTTATTAGAGATGCTGGGGGTGTTCCTGTCAGACGCATTATCTGCTGAAGCTGGTTTATATCTATGAAGCTTGTGTCAAGGGGAGTATAGCGACAGAGCAGAGTTGGTTAAAAAGCTGCTTCTCAATTTAACACGGTGCGGCTGAACTCCAGATGCGCTACAATGTTATGTTGAAAAGCAAACTTCAAGCTTTGAAGGAAAATGTGACCAAAAAAAAGTTAAGAGGAAAGGACTGGCAGATTGGCAGGGAAGAGACAACAATAATTAAAGCCAATCAGTGAAAGCAAGAGCTCAGTCCCCTGTGTCACAATCACAGCATGGCAATTGTAACTTAATTCACCCAGTTAA